TTCGACGGTGAACGAGGATGAAGTGGAATTCATAACCCTCCTATATCACCAATTGGCCATGCGCTATCCAGAACTCAAATCTAGTTCTCAAGTAGCTGTTATATCACCATACAGGGGTCAGGTGAAACTCCTGAAGGACCATTTCCGGTCGACCTTTGGCGACCAATCAAAGGAAGTTATAGATGTAAACAGCGTTGATGGATTCCAGGTAACTAGTTTATTAACATGCATTGCAGATTTGCTCTATGTAACGTAGTGGGTTGCAGTGATTGTAATATGGCATCTTGTTGCTCACATGTAGGGCCGTGAAAAGGAACTTGTCATTTTCTCATGTGTTCGATGCAATAAGGAGCAAAATATTGGGTTTGTTTCTGATTTTCGGCGAATGAATGTTGCCATCACCAGAGCTAGATCTGCTGTACTAGTAAGTGATCTTTATCCAAACATCAATGTTGTCTTTTTTTATGATGCACATTGCATACACACTGGTAAAAAGAAACGGGTTTTAATTGTATTGGATTTACAACCCTACATGTTTGTTCATGGATTAAGCGGTGTGACAGTATGGAGGTTATAGTGCCTGAGTTCCTTTTTTAGAAGAACAAGCTGTGCGATGTATAACTCTATTTGATGTATTCTACCCATTCTACACCTCACTAGGAATCAGGAGTTGGCTTATTTGTGTAAACTATCATTCGTTGTTGGTAAATAACCAAATAACAAATTAGCGTGTAATGCAGGTAATAGGTTCCGCTTCAACATTGAAGAAAGATAAACACTGGACCAACCTTGTTGAGAGTGACAAAGAGCGAAACCGTTATTTCAAGGTGAGATGGCTACTGTCTTTCTTTTGAAGCTTGTGTAGAAAAACAACATTTGGTGAATGTAACTAACCATGATCATCTTGCAGGTGCCAAAGCCATTCACTGCGTTCTTCACCGAGGATAGTTTCAAATCCATGAAGGTGGAAAGACCTGTTCCAGACGCGAGGATATCACAGGCAGTAGAAGCCATCAATGAAGTGGTTGCAAGGCCAGAAGTGATGGACGCAGACGATGCTGGGGACCATCAAGCGGATGGAGATGATTATGACGCCATGGAGGCTGACGATGGAGGAGGTGGTGATGATTAATTGTTGCCTGCAATGTATTGCTGGAGGGGGAGCTTTATCAGAGGCCAGGTACATAACATAGAAGAGCAAAAAGCTTTGCAAGTTAGAAATTCTGCTATCCTTAGCAAATTTTAGGGGGAAGAGGCTGGTGCATGCCTGCCTTGCCCGACGAATCATCTACACGGACTCCATTCATACATTATGGAACAAAAAAAGTTTACCGCAGAACTGCAGCAGCTCTGGCTTCTGCTGTGTCTATATGCTTATATGTCGTATGTGTGTATGTTGTTCACTTAATTGTGTAGTACATGTGCTGGAATTTGGCGAAGAACACCAGCCGGTGTCTCCCTGGTTACATTTCTCTCTTCGCCAGAGGCTGGCACATGTCGTGGACCTTGCTCTAGCTCTTATGGCTTAGGTGCTGCAATGTTCCCATCTCACAAAACTCAAATTTAAAAGGTTTTAAAAATTCCAAAAAAGATGTGGTAGTTCACAAGATCCATGTCTACAATCCTTGAAAATTTCAGATCCAAATTTGAAATACACATAACCTTTGCTATTGTATGAGTCACCTCGCATTATATTGTACAACCATGAAAGTGTATCTATTGCTCTGGCGGGAACCATGAGACTAAGAATGTGCAGTGGTGTGCTTGATTCTGTTCAAAATGGCTGAAGTAAAATAGTCTTGTAATTAACCAAATCATGTGCAAGGCATCCATTGAAAGGGTATAGCATTTGATCAATCAGTATAGGAAAACAATCTCAGACATTTATAGGGAAATCTATTCAGACAATGCTCCCAAGTGAAAAGGTAGTTGAATCATACTTGTCTTCTGTTGCACCTGGCATCAAGAAACAGATTTAAGGAATTGAAGTAAACAATCTCAGACATTCATAGGGAAATCTATTCAGACAATGCTCCCAAGTGAAAAGGTAGTTGAATCATACTTGTCTTCTGTTGCACCTGGCATCAAGAAACAGATTTAAGGAATTGAAGTGATACCCAGTGCATGTAGCTCCCGCTTGCGCAGGGTCTGGGGAAGGATCTGACCACTTTGGGTCTATTGTACGCAGCCTTTTCCTACATTTCTGCAAGAGGCTGTTTCCAAGACTTGAACCCGTGACCTCATGGTCACAAGGCAGCAGCTTTTTCGAAGTGATTGATATAACCAATTAAAATTTAAATTTATTTTCTTATAGAAGACTATATAATTTGTTTACTTGTATTGGTTGGGGTGCACCTAGCCTGAGCAGTAGTGCAATGTCCAGACAACACATGAGGGTATCAATGGCAAGCCATTATTATAGACCCTCCCCCATAAAAAATAAATTTAATATCATTGTGGGCACATGGCCCATATATCAGATGTTAGACTAATAAGAATAGATATTACACTTGATCTTAGCCAAAAGGCCGAGAAAAGTATGCTTCTGAAGGTTGCCCTCTGAAGGTTGCCCTCCGCCTCTTCTTATAGCTTTCTCAACTGACCGTGTTGCTTGCACGGGCGAGGTGGTACTAATCAAACAGCAGCGCATTAGATACCTGCCTCTGCGCTTCCACGTTAATTTTACCATAGCAGCCCAGATGCCTTGAAGGCCTAATAGCTCGGCTTAATTCGTACTCATGGTTGCCGGTAAACCACTTATTATTCGCAGATGATAGCCTGCTGTTTTTTAAAGCAAATGGCGAACGAGCTGTCGAGGTGAACCATGTTTTGAATATTTATTGCCAAGCAACAGGACATAGAATCAATAATGCCAAGTCGTCAATATATTTCAGCAAGGTTGTACCTGAGACTGTTAGGGTCAAAATTAGTAATAATACCAAACGAGGACGAGGAGGCTTCACATATGCAACGACGATATACACATTGAGAAAAAAAAGGACAAACATTGTCTTTGCTTCTCAATGCATATACTGAATTTGGATCTGAAGGTTTTAGGCTTTGTAGACACATATTTTGTGAACATCTATGATGTTTCTCAGAATTTTTTGAAACATTTAAATTTGAATTTTTTGAATTGGTATCATGGGAGGTGGGAGCATCTAAGAGCATCTATAGCTGAATACATCAAATCCAACCTCTCAAACATCCGCGGACATGAGACGGCTGAGCGCTTGCTCCGTAGTCTAGGCCCGCTCCAGGAGAGTGCCAGGAGCATGCACATGGCACTGCTGATGGCCATGCCTCAGACGTGCTTGAGCTCCCAGTGGCCGCCGCCGATGACGGGTATGAACCCCGAACGTGCTTGAGCTCGTGTACTCCCATGCAGCTCACCTCGCTTCTGAGCTTGCTTGGACAGCGCTGACCATGAATTCATGCTCAACACCGGCATTATCAGAATAACGACCGCTGCCGACGGCCCCCATCGGCATAGATCGTGATATGCCGACGGCCGAGAAAATGCCGTAGGCGTACTAAAGCCGTCGGCAAACCTCCATATATGCCGACGGGGGCCGTCGGCGTAGGAAGTCCGTCGGCATATCTTCCACTATGCCGACGGGGGCCGTCGGCATAGAGCCGTTGTCGGCACACAGGTGGGTCCGCCGATCCAGGTCCAGACGGGGGGTTGACGCCGTCATCACTATGCCGACGGTCTCGACGGAGGCCGTCGGCATAGCTTGTAAACCTTTTTTTATCCAGCAAAAAACAAGTGGGCTCTCTATGCCGACGGGGATACCGTCGGCGTATATATTATATGTTTTTATTTCTGATTTTAGATTTTAATTAAACCTTAGATTTGATTAATT